ATGTTAGGCATACTTAAATTAAGTCATCTTTTATGAAATATACTTAAATTAAATCAACTTATATCATTTTCTATTAAATATATTTAAATTAAGATACTAAGTCAACTTATGTTAAGTATGTTTAAATTAAGTCCTCTTAAGATGAGAGTAAGCTTACATTAAGTTAACTTAAGTTAAGCATACTAAATTTAATTTGTGTCGTACTAAACTTGAATATTAACTACGTTAACTTTATCTTCTTTGAGGAGCTAGAAATTCCTAAATTTCTAGACAACGTAATCAGGCAAATACGAAAACTGAATCAACATCGGATGGTATTGCCTATCAAGATTCATCCTTTGACATACTAAACAAATTAAGGGATAATTCCTCTTTCTTGAACATATCCTAGAAAATTATAATAATACCTCAGTATGTAGTAGTTTAAAAAATGCATGTCCCACCACCCCTCAAATAGTTAAGATAGAAATGTACTAAAGATGCTACACTTGACCATTGAAATATTTTTCTGTTCTGCATACTGTAGAAACGGTATGTCGCAAATTTATGACGTTCGGCGTTAAGAGGTTAAAATCATTTAAAGTTTGCCAACTTTAAATATTCTTAAGTTAAGTTTAAGTAAAATAAGTCATCTTATGTTAACTATACTGAATGAATATATAAATTTGCAATTTATAAAATGTACGAAATGTTGAAATAACAAAAAAAAAAACAATATTTCCAGGAAGATATTTCAAATTTGATTAGCGTTCAAGAAATGAAATGTCTGGTATGAAGGTTCATTGCGTTGATTAGAGGATGGAATAGCTACGATGCAGATTTAACGGTAGGAAAAATTGACGTCGGCTTTCGCTTTTCCCCGATTTTTCCGGCTCGTTTGCGTGGAAAATGCAAACATTTTTACGCGGACGACGTCCGCTAAGTTGTGCTCTCTCCAGCAGACGAGCAATTTTAATAAATAACATCCAATCTGTCTCATTAATACGTTTCATTACGGTGTGCACGGACTGAAACAATAATTAGAGGTTTGCAACTGCCGCCTGCATCTATGTTTATTTGTATTCGTGTATACATTCATACATATATATGTGTATATGCAGTTTTCAGCGACAAAAGTTTCCATTTGCACAAACAAAGAGTCACTTAGAGTCGCCATCGCTCCATAACCGAAATAAATGCGCGAAAGAAGAAAACGAGCACGTGAAGAAACGGAAAGTTTGCATCGGTAAACTCGACCAAAGATGTAAACAACAACATGTAGACGATGTATGAAACTCGCATATGGATTTCTAAGGTCGTTCCGTTCTTTTCATTAAATCTATTATTATCCGTTTCATTTATTTATTTTGCCATTAATTTAATGACTTAATCTAATTGCGTCATGCACCATGCATTAGCTCACATTGTTTTCGAAGATCTTTGAATATTTTTTTTCTTCTTATATGCAACATGTGCAGGCGCTTGAATTGTGTATACTCTGTAACAGTTATTATTATGAACATATGCAATATCCAAGTTTTTTTTATTTAATTGCATTTTGCAATTTTTAAATTTCCAATAATTACTATTTTATGACAGTTTCATATGAACACAAGCCACGAGGAATTTGGTAAAGAATAATAATAGTTTTTTGTACATTGCTCAATTATCCTACATAAAACTTAATCATACCTAGATACAGGGCCACTTTAACCACTGTGCTAAATTGGCTATAGCCCAGGGGTGTCAGACTTTAGGGTGGCAATTTTGCTTCCCCCCATGTATTTTCTTATGAAGTTGGTAAACTATATAAATGTAAAAGCAAAAAAATGTCTAATTACTTTCAAAGTGTACACATATTTCGATATATCAACGTTTTAATTAAATACTCGTCCGTTAATTAGATTAGAATTTGCATATAAAAGATAAAATTATTACCTTTAAATATTTTATCAAATGCTTAGCTATGTTAATTATAGAATATCTTGTCATCTGTATCTTAATTATTACTTTATTAAGACTAAAATTGTATTAAATGTTTTCGGGTTTCTAAAAGTAATATATAAGGAAAGTAATTACAAAATGACTTAAATAAATTATTAATTAACTCTCATTAAATTAACACTTACGCAACACCAACTCCGACAGTTTAAGTAATGCAATTAATATTTTCAAATAGATCATCCCTAAACCAGCATTATCTTGATATTTAATTAACACTATTTATGATGGTGCTGGACATTTTTCAACGGTTACTCATTAAAACTGGCAATAAATAACTAGTTACATAACATCATTTATGGTATTTAAGTAGATTATTCCGAGAGAAGGCAATGCCAATATGGCTGTTGCATGGATCGAACTTGACTAGAACTAACATAATAATCCAACAAGTGCGAATCACCATAGTTCTAAATTATAATCACCGTAATTAATCTGGAATTAAGTTGATTCATGAAATACATTTTGGTTAATTATAATACAAAAAAGCAATATCAAATTATGTACATATTTAGAAAAGGTTGTTATTAAATTTATACTTTCTTAATTCCATTTATGAACAACGTTAATTCTAATAAGAGAAGCTAATATCCAAAATGAAATATTCTGTTTAAATTGATACAGAAATAATTCACATAGTGCAGATATTCTGACTAATCGAAAACTTTCAAATTGCATTAAAATAAACTGCATGAAAAGAGACACAATGATGAAATTATGTTCTCAATTTAAAATTTAGTTTTTAGAAATGGGAGGTTGAAGATTAATATTATAAAACATTAAAATTGAGTTGTATCTATTGATTTTACTATCAAATATTGGGTGAAGTAAAATGTTTTGAGCGTTTTTCCTTAGGTGGAATCTATACGTTGCATCTTGTAGTTCTTTGACAGTTATCTGTTTAGTGAATCCAGTTGTGTGTTAGAGCGTTCCAAAATGGAGGTAAAAAAAGAAAAAATTCAATACATTCTTCAGTACCACTAAGACCAAGGGGAAAAGCGGAGCAGCCTGCCAAAAAAATGTGCGTTGTTTATGGACCCAATACAGTATCGAATGCAACAGAAAAGCGTTGATTCCAACGTTTCCGTTCTGGTAATATGGACGTCGAAGATGAGACACGCTCTGGTAGGCCAATCGTCGAAAATGTTGATAAAATCATGGAAATCGTCGAGTCGGACCGGCATGTGAGCACTTATTCCATTGCCCAGGAATCGAAGATTAGCCAGAAAACCGTTTGGAACCATTTGCATAAGGCTGATCTCAAGAAGAAGTATGGGACAAAACGATCAGAACTTAACCCAATATATGTAAAGGCCATCAATGTATCATCGTAATTGCTGCAACAATTAGCAATATTTTTATTTAAATGTCTTAACGAGATGTCATGGCCTATCGGTGAAGGTAAAACATTCTGGCTGGGAGGACATAAAACACCCATAAAAATTAAACTCGCAAAAGTAATTAAGTTTAATTTAAAATAAAAAAATAACTTAAAGATCAAGCAAGATAAATAACTCAATAATAGTATATCACTTTTTTTAATTCTTTATAATATCAGTAGAACCATATAACCCGAAGCGTTCAAATAAAACTGGAATCTTAATTACAGATAAATTTATAAATATATCCGTAATACGAATAAATGTATGTCACAAATATGTGACGCTTAAGCATTTGCATCACGAACATATAATTAATATATATGGACAGAACAGTTTTACTTCCACGGATTCCTAACACGGTCCATATTGCACGCACCGTCTGCTTTATGTGTCGCACATTTTTCCTGAGACTGTCCTCATTTTCTTGCCATATTTTTTGTTGTTGTTGCTGACTTGCTGAGATTCCGTTCTCCTGGAAGGTAAATGAAGTTAAGTTATTCAGATCAGCCGTTCGAAACTAGAGAGAACAGCAGAAGCAGCGACAACGGTAAAAAAGGCATACGTAAATGAACGGCGAAATGTTTATTAAAGTCCAATGAATATTCAAGATTCATTATGAAACTGTTGCGTCGGTCGGTCGCGCAGTGAGTTTGGATTAATTTTTGAACTGACTCAATTCCACCCGCAAGCGGATTTTTAATGAGCCTTCTTTATTAAGTGGCCTCCGTAATGCGATATCTAGGAATTGTATGCAATTAATCCTTTCCATTAAGTTAATACTGTTATGACACTGTTTTATGGAGTTCATGAGTCGTTGTGTTCACAAAATCATCAGATCTTTCATACGCCTAAGGCTGGAGCCTATTTAAGTTTTTATTTTACTTTAGAATTTGAATAACATAATAGATTAAATACAGATTAATATAGAAAAACTTTCAACGAAGTACATAATTATTACATGAATCTTAAACGCATAAACATAATTAAAATCTTAATGTTAATAGATTATCTAGAGATTAATAGAAACTCAATCCAATAATAAACACATTTTTGGATTATTACAAACAATATTTAAAAGCAGTTCAGCTACAAGTTTTTGCTAATCGACGAATTTTCACAGTAGATCATTTTTTGGTAGTATTGATTTTATGACCTTTGTTTAAACTACATCTTAAACTGTTTAAAGTAGAAGAGATATGCAGTTATAATTAGAAATTTAACTATTTTAGTTTCTTTTAGAATTATGAATGAAAGATCTATAAACAAATTGTTGAAAGTCGAATTGTCTGGATAAATGCTGAGAGTATCTGACATTTGTGCACGCAGATTTCTTGGTTTGTAGATTTGGAACGATTGGGTCGTTAGTGTGGAAGTTTTCAAACAAATTTCCGTTTTACTGAATCGGTCGTAATAATGTCATTTCGCCTGATGGACAATATTAACGTTTGCTTTGTTATGTAGCCAAGAAAACTAATTTAGAGTTCATTTGAGTGTAATATGCAAATTGGTAGTGCGTTAGATGTTTATCATTGCCTATTTAGCATTCAATATAGTGAGTATTCTTTAAATAGCATATCGGAGTTTCAGAATCAGCGAATGCACATCGGCGCGAGCGTGAGTATGTGTTTGTATGCATATGCATGTGTTTCTATATGTATTTGTGTGTACGTGCGGTGACTCTTGGTACGTGTTAATGGGAATGCCGTTATCAAGACCGGAAACAAAGGCGCGCACGCACCGCCCGATCCTTTTCATCACTTTCCGCGTTTCCGGCGGAAATGCATTGTGCGATATGGTACGCATCGCATTTCCGGCATTGTCTTGTTGCACGGCTCGCCACCTTCTCCATGCAAGTAATCGCACCTAAGAGAATAACAGTGATAAGGATGAGAACCGTTCGATACGTTGCTTATCGGAAGACGACTGTCTTGACGAAATGATGACCATATGGTATGTGACCTATTCCCGATGTGTGACTGACTGACTGTTGTGTGTGTATGTGAACAGTGACCCATAGCATGTCGGTCGAAAAATGTGGAAACAACGAGGAAATACGACGGCGCGGATAATTTAGAGTGTGGCTCTCACTGTGATCTCACGTTGGTGGAGGCGAAAGAGTTGATCCTTTTGGTTGTTGGGCGTCGGAAAGGTTAAACTGTCTCCATCTCTCCTTTGCTCTCACCACCACTGTCCATTCGTTGCGCAATGCCATTATATGCATGTACTCCACTATCTCCGGCAACAATCGCATCCGTAAATCTGGGTCAATAACTCACGCCAATTTTGACACATATCAAGACAAAAAAAATAATATTGAAATGATACCAAGGAAGAAAATAAAAGTAACGAACAAAAGAACCAAATGAATCTGATATTTGATGTTTGGATCGGCGGTCTTTTTCCGTTTCAATTTGTAACGGAATTGTTATGTGGCTCTCGGCCATTAGGTGTGGTTTATGATCTTAGGTACGTACGTTCGTATGAACGTACGCACGCTTGCCATTATAAAATTTGATTAGCATTTCTCCACATAATTAGATAACTCTTATATAGACTTTTACGAGTGGCTTGCCTGACTGGCGATAGTGATTGATCGCATCTTAACAATAATTGCAACGTGGTCTTTGTGTGTGTCTGTCTGCCTGCATTCGATTACGATTTCCAATTTCTTTTTGTTTGTTCCCTCCTTCTCTCTCTCTCTCTCTCTTGTTCAATTCCTAACAACCTCTCTATTCACATTCAAATATTTTGATGTATTACGACAGCAGCTTATTTATAATAAACGCGTGGATCTTTGCCTGCAATGCGCATCATCATTAAAATACCAGATACAATCCATAAAATCTACTTCTAACATTGTTTCTAGTACTATATATTATTAAATGTTGCACAATCAGTTCAACTCAAACTTTCATCCTTACCAAACTGTAATAATAGGCTTTCTGTAAAAGCCAAACTTAATTTTATGTTCTAACTATAAAAATATGAAAAGAACATTATATGTTTTTAATTCTCTCCATATGTGTACGGTTTATTAACAATAACAATAAATCCGTCAAGAAAATTTCTATTCAAATTCAAAATATTAAATATCACTTGCATTAATCATAAAAAGTCCGATGGAAATCTATGAAATGAACATAGAATATTGTAAATTTGTTTGTAGATGTTGTAAGATTAATCCGACAAATAGTTTAACTGTAAAATCCAAACTTATTTTGAATTATATGCTTGTAGATGTTGTAAGAAAAAAAGTTTGATCCGTAACTGTAAAAACCAATTCACTGGGAATAAAATAATAACATGCATTTTAATAGTAACTCTTTTATAATTAATAATTGAATGCTAAAAGATGTATTCATATTATTATGCAAATAAATGAAAATTAATGAAAGAAAGGATAGACATGTTTATTTTAGATGTGCACATGTGCATATATTTATAAAATATAAGAGGTTCGCTAACCTGTTCGAACTTCAAATGTACGAAGACTAGAATTTTATTGGGATTTATTATTGATCTGTGTAATCATTCGCGATGGATGGATTTAATAAACATACTGTTATTATTAATATACAGGAATACATTCCGAGTCGTTTACATCTAAACTCCAACTCCTGAGTTGTATGATTTAGAGAACGTTTCGCGGTAATTTGTTGGTTGAAAAGGAAATTTCCCCTTTAATGCAATATGGGAGGATTTATAAATACGGGTTTTACTTATATTACATATAGGAGATTTTCCTTATAAGCGTGCATATGATATGTCTGCAATCCGATGAAGAGGAGAAGGTAGAGGAGGGATTTAAATGAGCTCGCCGACGAATATTTGTAATCCTTTAAGCACACAATCCATACGTACAGAGTGTTTCATCCTTGTACGGCATTATTTTTATTAATGATTTAGTGGAGATGTTTCGAAGCAGAGTGAGGTTTTGAACCGTTGCCTTTGCCTTTTGAGGAGAGCTTACTTACGAGCAAACCTTGCGGAACGGGAGTTTCAAAACGGTATGCGTTTTCCATCATCGGTTTATTGAGGGGACGTGGAAAAATTTCCACAGACTTATACGGGGAGACTCGGTTCGTTTGAATCCGAACGATCGCTTCTTTATTTAATATTTGTTACTTCTGGTCCCACTCTTTCTACTGCTTCCTATTTAACTTTTTCTCTTATTCCGTTTCATCGTTTTCCTTAGGCATGTCTTTCTTACTCTCCTCCTCTCTATCCACCTATCAAACTCTCGTACTTATGATGAAATATGTTTATTAGGGGGCATTTGCATTCGTGTGTGTGTAGAGTGTGTATGGCTTGGTGTGTCTGTCTATAGAGTATGTTCTTCGGCCAAAGGTCGCGCAGCAGGTCAACATCATCGACACTTTTTATACACCTCTTATGCTGTACACATAAGGATCGTTTCCGCATTTTCTATATTAACGGATTGAGCGACAATTAATTGTATTCAAGCACAAAATACAAAACGTTGACTCTAACAGTACTCGGCCAGAGAAGAAGCGATAGACAAAGAAGAATACAAAAATCTAAACATATACTATACATTCAACGCGATTGAAACTTCGTATTTATATAAAAATACTCACGCATACATTTATACAAACAAAATGTATGCATTTATTTATTTTTTTATTCTTTTGATGATTCCGCTTAGCGACCTTTAGTAATGTTTGGTACTACATAAATATTAGCATAGTAAAATATTTAACTGTACTGCATGTAACCATTAGTATACCAATGTAAATATAAAAATATTTAGGACTTTCTAATAATTATATCATCCATCATATTTTATTTAAATATAGTAATAACTCAATTAATCCGAAATACCATTTTTTACTTCGTTTTATATAATTTAGTTAAAAATGTATCTTAGAAATTGTTGAAGTTGGAACAGATCGATTTATTATTATAGAAAGTATTAACAAAAATGAAGAAATAAAAAAAAACAAACTAATATAATTGATTAGTACTAATAACTTTTGACCACTAAATATAATGAGAAAATATACAATAGCTGTCTACTTAAAATCAATTGTTCATTTCTGAAATAAATCGTATTTTTATTAACTAATACTTCATTTTAATTTGTAAAAAAAACAACGTTTTTATGAAGATAAATCATGATATAATGTATTTTTCCAAAAATTATCATAAATTTGGCCTGTAAACATTCACTTCTGGATATCCATTACTTATCAAATTATAAATTTATAAATCGAAACGAAACCTATTTAAAAAAAGGAAATACTATTTTTATATAAGATACTTATAAAAGCATTATATACAAGTTATAATATAATCAGTTACTTCAATGGAGCCGCATACCAATGGAATAATGACTTAATAAGTATAAAATATTACAAAAGAAAACAATTAATTATCCTATTGTTGAATTAGAAATATAACCGGAAACTGCATTAACATTTAAACAAGAGAAGCAAAGAAAAATAAAAAAAAGTAACAGTCTATTTTCGCCACTGCAGTTTTCTCTGAAGAAAATATTGCGGTTTAAAAAGGAAAAAATAGAATCAATTGCATGCATTAAATTTTCATTTTGTTTCCTTTTTAGGATCGATTGGGTCCAATTCCCCTGCAACTAGTCCAAAGAAAGCCGGAAGAAATGAAATGGTAAGTTAACTATTCTCTGTATTATTGTTGTGCAACATTCGAAAGGTCATACGATTATTCTCTCTTCACTATTTCTTTATCCTTCGTATTTTTTTCTTATTCTTCTTATTGTAGATCGTTCGAACTGCACACATTAGAAATAGCAATCCGTAGGTTGTGTGTTTGCACGTTACTAAATATGTTTAGCAGTTTCTCTTTCCTTACAAGCTTCCGACCATGTGGTCCTCTTGTCGAATCGCACTCGTTATGGTTAGATGCAATTTGTGGGACGAAACTGTCTATAAATTGCAAGATGTTATATTGAACATACGACAAACATTACAAGGAAATTATTTGAAGACATATGTTTGTGAATTTATATAGTTTCAACTAAATATAATGTAGTGAGGCGGTCGATAATCACAGTAAAAGGGATGTAATAATAATTACAGAAATCTTATCAGGTCTCTCTAATATGAATTAATGTATACAGTGAAACCTCGCTAAACGAGCATATTTCGTTCCCCATATAATTCATTTTTATTACAATTTATTTTGATCGACATATGTAATAAATGACTATCAATCATGGCAATTACTATCGCGAAATATAGTGTTTTTCATGTTGGTAGTCATTGGTATTTATAGTCTGGTAGCTGATATTTAATCTACTGAATATTCTACTAAGTGTCAAATTAAATATGTTTATACTTAGTGATAGCGAACCTTTTGGGATCGGTGTGTCAAAATTCGGAAAAAACGTGTCATAACTTGCCGTGTCACTTGGATACATAGACCGTTAACTTCCAATATTTCATATGTAATGAACATTAAAATATTGTTGGCCTATCACCCAAGATGTCTTGACATATCACCACTACATGGTTATAACCATGCTCAATTGTAAAATCATATAAAAGATAAAAGTTCACTTGGTTTCTATGTGTTGGTATGATGTTAGAATATATTAAACTTTTTTTTAATATGGCCAAAATTTCTAGACCCAAAACATTTCTAGCCAACTTAGTCAACTGGATCAACATTGAATGGTATGTACTATCAAAATTCATCGCTTAACACACCAACCAAATTGAAGAGCAATTCCTCTTTCCTGTATATTTTATATAAAATTATAATAATAGTGATATTATGGATGTTATTCTCGTTTACTTCTCTCCACTTTTCATTTGGAAGTTAATGCAATGTTCAAAATGTGGTTGAATATTTATAATGTGGTTGTCACCATATTTATGGACTATTTAGTGTATGAAAGCGCACATTAACAAAATTGTCAATTCAAATCGTAATCAAGTACGAGGATGACAAAGTTGATAGTTAATTTTTCGTATATACAGTAATAGGTGTTGAAAGTTGATATAAAATATTACAAGCTTCGAAGTTGAACCAATTTAAAGTTAATACAAGTCAGTGAAATCTGAACCTAAGCAATATTTTTGTTTGTAACGTGATTAAAGCGAAGATGGATGATTACTCCTATAATTCATTTCGTCCAGAATGCATGCGGTAAAAACAACAGTAGCAAGTAGGCAATTAATATTTCTCCTCGTCAATGCTTTGTTTCGTCTCCTCCATCTCTCTCTAACGCACGCACACATACTGCATACGCAATAGCCCCTTATCTTCTTACCATTTAGTTTAAACCAGTTTCGAGTCATCAATTGTATATGCTCTAACAATAATTAAACAATAATTCGTGTAAATAAAGAGTGCCGTTGCGTAGGTCAGCGCTGCGAAAATACTACACGACCTTGGCAATGGTGTGTGTGAGAGAGAGAAAGAGATGGCATGGAAACCGATGTGCGTTGAAGAAGGAGAGAGGCGGATGGAGATTATTGTTCGTTTCGCGAACGTAACGAACTGGTTTGCTCTCTCCGTCTTTCTCTTTCACTCTCGCAAAGTCCTTCCTTTTTTTCTCTTACATCTATCCCTCTCTCTCTCATTCTCTTTCTTTATAACCACTCGTCATTCGACTTCTTTTCTGTGGATACATGTGTGCGTTTGAGAGAAGAGAGTTAAAGTATTACCGTTCCATCGCATTACCTCCCAAATGAAAAGTGGAGAGAAGAAAACGACAATGACATCCATAATACCACTATTATTATGATTATTATTATTTTGCCAGAAGTATCACGTATATAGGGAGATCTTAATATGCAAATATTTAGGTTACTTTTCAAAAACTGAAAGTTATTCTCTTCACTGCATAACGTGCCTATTATCTATTACATTTACACACTAATGCGGACACCAGTACAAACAGCTTTTACTTTTACCAACTTCTGTACTTTAAAGATACAATAAACACTTATTTAGTTAAAATCTGTAAGATCCCAAGATAATTACAACATTATTTAGAAATCAATACAGATTTCTATATTATATAAGTATATTAATCTTATAATTAGTCTTATAAACTTATTAATATTCATTCACTTTTAATCCGTTTGTTATGTATTTAGCATATTTATTGGTCATACATCCAGACCAAAGAACGGAGGTTTTTCTACGCAGTGTATATAATTAAAATTACTTTTATTGAACAACAAAGAAAATACAAAAAAGGTATTAAATAAAGAAACATTGCAACATTACATTTATACAAAAGTTAAATTTATTATATGCAGAATTTTCTTTATGTGCGACACGGTAATAATTATAAATATTTGATAGACCTTTTCGTAGATGAATCACTATCGTTGTTCGAAGGTTGATCTGATCGACATAAATATCATTTGCATAGTTTAATTGTACCGGAACCTGAACAGCTGATTCATTTATAAAACATTTTGGAATCAGACGTAAACCTTGAACCTTCCGCAAACGAGGTTACAAATATACCAAATGCTTCGAATTATCTGCTTATTTGATAAATAGTCGTAGTATTTTAGAAAAAAAATCCTTTTAAACAATGTTCTCTATGCGACGTGCCATTAGTTTTCTATTGAATGGAGCCTTGATCTGCTCACAGAACGTTACCAGTATGACATTAACGTATTCAATAATTGTAAGTACACATTATTATCTAATACAAGTTTCTTAGCAAACACGAATATGTTTTTATTATATAAACTGCATTTGAAAATTTAATAGTATAAAACACAAAAATTATATCATTATTTGTTCATTAATTGTGATTTGATTATTAATACCGTTTTCTTTACCCATGTTTTAATCCCAATTTAATTTCTGATTTTTTTTTAATAAAATTAAGTACAAAAATATGTTTATACAAATTTATTATATCTCTTCATTTATATCATTTCAACTGAAGTTTAATTGCAGCTTGTCTATGAGTTCTCAATGAAGATTTAATTTCTGTAATTACTAATTAAGTAATTACTATTAATTGATATATTTGCGTGTTTATTTGCTAATCGGGCTGTCCACAGTAGGTGGTTGGATATCTTCAAACTGTAGAAATTTGTAAAATTGTATTGTAATTCTAGTTTCAATTTTATATAACATATAAATATATGGGCGACTCGTCTCAAATATGATATATGAAATACTATTATTGTAATAAAGCTATTTAGATAATTAAATGTAATACAATATGAAATATTGCATCTGTATTTCTTATATGCAGAGTAAAGACTATCTTTTAGTAGACATCTCATGCAGTTAAATCATGTGGGATTTACCGAGATAATTAGTCCTGTTTCTAGGTGTTAAGCTATGTATCTCGATTATCATAGTCTGAGGAAAGCTGTAACTCTAAATAATTGGACTCGTAATGAATTCTTAGTTAATAATTACATGAATTATACATATCTAATAATAAATATTAAAAACGATGTGATCTTCGAGTGATTTATTTGCATGCTGGCAATAATGACATACTTAGCGAAACGTAGGTATGCTTTGATTGCGAACTATGTACCTTGCATGACTAGTGTTTCCATAGTAACCATATTGATATGCCGATTAATCACAGTCACAGATAACTCAGGCATTTGTGACATTTGCGACTTTTTGCCTGTGTTGTGTCACATGTATAATGATTGCAACAGTGTATCGAGATTGCTGCTTGCAGATGGTAGGTAGAGGTTGACTGTTGGTTCTTCCTCTCTTTCTGCGGCTTTTGTTGTCTTTTGAAATCATCATATAAGGTGTATCTCCCCGGCAATAAAAACTCGACGGCTCCGGGTTCATGTGGCCGGAGAGCCGTGTCATGTCTCCGTTCCGTGGCTGTTTGTCCATTGTTCCGTCCGTCCCGTGAATGCCCTAAAGGCCTAGGAAACGTGATTGACTTCCACGATTTTAGCAGCCAAACGTGCGCACACATTCTCGCACAGTTACGAGAGATCACCTCTTCTCTTCTCCTACTTCTGCATCTGCCCCATCTCAATTCTTCTTTTCTTCATCCTTCATCCAGACAATTTTCTTCGTTTCTTCATTCATGATCCAATAAAGCTTCATCTTCCCTCACTCCATCTAACTCTATCTCTTACCTTTTTTATTTGTTTTCATTTAGTTTGTTGGTGGAGGATGGAGAAAACCGCTATTAGTTTAAAATTTAATTAAAATTTATTTATTTAATCTATAAGATCAAATTATTCATACATTTAACTCTTAAGTGCATTTATATGTCATTCTTATAAGTCAAAAAATTAAATTTTAAGTATTTTATATAATAATAACAACAACCTTAAAATTACATAAAAAAAAACATGTAACAAAAAGCACATGAATCGTTGCAATGAAACGTAGATTTGTATTCTATATTCTTCATTTAATATTCATGATTAAAAAATGATCTTTAACTCTTCAGTTTTCTTTTTGTATTGTTCGTTTCTTGTTGATATAAGAAACTTGGTATTAATTGCGATCTGAAGGTGGGATGCATCCATTATTTTCGTGGGATCGTAATTTGTATGTATCTGTCTGTTTGTAATTGTGAATGTGTATGTGTGTGAATGCGTTTCCTCTCTTAGAAGGAAGGAACACGAAGAAGAACGGAATGCCGGCGCGACCTTGAACCCCCCGACGCCAAAGCAATA